CAGGTCCTCTGTCTTAATTGTAAGCAGCCATGTAGGGAGAGAGGCAACAGAGAGTCAAGTCCTCTCTCCATGGGACAAGCAGCCTTTCATCCTTCTCTGGTACAATAGGGCAAAGAGGGAGGAGAAACATTTCTGCATCAGTTGGAAACTCCTGTAGGAGACTGCATGGACTTAGGTAATTTCCAGGTAGTAGACTTCTTTAAAAAAAACCCAAAACCCAAAACTTCACAGACTGAAGACAACAGTCACTGAAGAGATCTAAAGGGTTTTTCCTAAATTCTGGGAAAGTTCACTCTGAGATCCAAACATGGTCACTCAGAATCACCTCCGGCAATAAGATGAATTGTACTGCAATATTCCTCAACATACACTCTCAACACCACTGCACAAATAAATCATCCTGATCCATTTCTAATTGAATGTATATTTTTCATGTTTTTGAAACGATTCTGGTTTCATTCCATACATTTTTTACTTTATGAAATCAGGCGGGTTATGTGTATTAAACTTTATACTGAAAATACTGAGTTGAACCTTTTTTGGGGCTCACAAAGCAAACCCCAGCATTGTGAGTGTGAGGAAATGGATTTACTTCTTGCCATCCCAGGAAGGCTTTAGGTTGTCATGATGGGAAACACAGAGAAAATTGCTTATCAGTGGCCAAAGGGTTATTGAAGAGAGACTGTCTTTCCCTCTATGTTTGTGGATATTGTGATACAAAGAAAGGAGGAAACCCAAAGGCTAAGGAGGAGAATGGGCCTTGAGGAAGCCTACTCTACAGCCTTGCTTCATCCTTTGTTTCCCATAGGACAAATCCTCAACATCTCATTACTTCAGTGTCTTAGTGATAAGCAAGGACAGCTATTCTCGAGACCTGTGAAGTCACTTGAGGTACCCACATGGGAAGTGGCTGAAAAATGCCACCCTTGTTGCTCTCATGTCATATTTTCATGCTGGCTATGGCACTGATTTTTTTCTAACTGGAGGAAGAAACTCAAATGCAATAACACAGTTTTACATCAAAATAGTAATGGATCTTTCTGTCTGTGAAAATGCAAAGTGCTACTCAGATGATAAGGGAGAAATCCTGTGTCCTGTGAAGTCTGTGGCAGTTTGCCAGTCACTTCTTTACACAAGCAATGAAGAAAGAATATTTTATTTTATTTTATAAAAGCAGCCTGATGAATTTGGAATAGGCAGACCTGTGCCAAAATTAGAGGCTCTATTGAAAGAGTTCCCATGGCCCAAACCCTCATCTGATGTACATATATATATATGTGTTCTGGTACAATAATATTGATAATACGAATAACCATAATACAAAAAGATGCTAGATTCCATTAGCTGTTACAGATACCATTCTTCCATCCCATGTACAAACACACAATTTGACATCCCTTTACCACACAATTCCCCATTGTGGGACCAAGAACTAAAATCTCAGAAAAAAGATAGAAACGGCGTAGAGGCAGTATAACCATGCGGTTGCATCTGTTAAAGCCCTTTCCAAGGTTCCTCACCACTATCAGGCACTTTTTCATTGTTTGTTCCCTTTAAATTAATTATTTTGAACAACAACACAGAAAATATTAAAATATTGACATATTTGGGCCTGCAGACTCAGAAAGAGGAAGAAAGTTGTGTCCAGCTGGTAGAAAACTGCTCCAAACTGCCCACTGATTGCGTGTGATGCTCAGCCATCCTTTTCCCTCCCCATACACCCACTAAGGTCGGAGTTTATGTCTCCCCAAGGACAGTAATTTTTCACCATATTTTTTTCTCTTCTTGTTGTTCCTAGAATTTTCATTGACTCCCAGGGAATTTTGATGAGTTTCTCTGAAGTGCTTTAGCAGTGCTATACAGGTTGTGGGACATCTCCTGAAAAAAAAAAAAAAGATTAACTGTTCTAAGAATAGAGCATAGAAAGGATCTGCAGGGAGATGTAAGGATTTTTTAAAAATACATAACCATTCCTCCACTCTAACGACAAAGAAACTGAAGAGGAGCCCCGGGCAGATGTCTGATGCTCTGTGGCATCTGAAAGGTTACAGACACCTGTGCTTACACAGCTTAATCATGCTGTCGATATTTATTAATTACAGTGAGAATTAGAAAGATCTTCTGTGTAGATCTCCATATATGGGTACATAATTTTTTTCTTAATTTTCAAGTCCCTCTCCCAATGGAAAAGATCCACCTGTACAACTTGGCATAAAGCAAAATTGTCTCCCATCAGGGACAAACACAGATAAAGCAAATCTGCAGAGAAGGTGTCCTCGTGCCCTGGGCAGCTGAAATCCCACAGCTGTTAGAGTACTTCTGAAGGACAGAACTACAGCTCTGTGCCCTCTGGTAGCCTACCTTGACCCGAGGAACTGTCAGTGCTCTGCACTGGTTGTTTACTTTCATACTTGGTGATTGGATGTGTTTGGGAGCGTTTTCGGGCCCTACCACCACCAAGTGGTACGGGACAGCTCAAGTCTTGCCTCTCCTGTGCTCCAGGACAGGGAAGCCTCTGGGGCTGGCATGCTTGAGTTCTCCAGTGGAGATGCATCTGTTGTGTCCCACAGGACCAAGCCTGGCCCATCTGGGCCTGCTGGTTCCATCAAGTCTGCCCCATGCCCACGTGTAATGAGTATATGCTTGGCCAGTGAGGCAGTCACTGCACTGGGAGCCTACCACTCCGAATCACAGCATCAGAGCCATCTCCTGAGGGCAACAGATCCAACAGGAGCATGCTGCCTCTTCTACGGGGCAGAAGCAGCAGGGGACGTGCCATGTGTTGCCAGGTGAGCTAAACACTCTCATACAGCACTCTTTTTGAGACAAGGGGATCTTAGCTTTCCAAAACACCAAATAAGTACTTGGAGATTTGTTTCTTCATCTATAATGGCCAGATCTCAGCAGTGAGTGAAAAACCTGATCCAAATTTTTTTTTTTTTTGTGAACTTGCCCGCCTTTTGTATCTTCTCCATGTGGCTTGAGAAATATTTCACAAAATCTCCTCTAGCCTGTTGGCACCTAGGGAGCAAGGGAACAGGGGGGTTCAGAAAGGTAAACATGAATCAGACCTTTCCTTCCTAAAATCATGTCATGCATTTGAGTAAGAGATCCGTTCTTGACTCCCTTGGACTTTTACTGACCCAGTTTAGATCTGGGATAACAACCAAACAGTCATGACAGAGGGCATGATAACTTGCAGCCAGGGAGAGGGGATGGGTGGCTGTAGATGGAAGTGGAAAGGCACTTTTTGCACTGATTCTGCTGCTGAAAAATTCAGCAAATGAAGCTTCATCCCCAAGGAATTAAGCAGATGCCTGGGTTTGCTCTAGAGCCAGATCCAACTCCACTGCAGGGCAAGGATCATTCCTCTATATCAGCACTGTGTGCTTTGCTCCATGTGCAGGACTCTTTGACAATTAGCAGAAACACAGTGACCCCTGATATCCCTTCCTTTGCAATTAAATGATTTTTTGGTGTGTTATCTGCTACCTGGGACCTTTCTCATTCATTTATTTGCCTTAAGTGGCTGTCTCCACCACTGTGTCTGCTCTGCCTGACATGTCCCTAATCTTTTTTCCAAGGAGTGGAACTTCCTGGCTTGCTTAAAAAACTAGATATGTGTCTATATGCATAAATCTCTAAGCCTCAATAATGTGACTGCTTGGTTATCTCTAGGATTGCCATTTTCATTTTGCTTGGCACAAGAAAAGCAGAATTCAGTTAATAAAGCAGACAAGCTTTAGCCCTCAAATCTTGCAATAGCTTTTAGTTTCTGATCAACTGAAGAAAAATCTGGAAATTTTTTAGCCTATCTTGTTACCCAGTATGCACCTTTCTGGTCCCAGCTGTGCTTCTGGAAATGGTTTGAAACCCCAGCTGATCATTTCTCTATCTCTGCACAGTCTTCCAGCAAATTAGAGCATGCAAATATGGCCTATGACAAGGTCAGCAGTATTAGCTGAGCACAGTAATTGGAAGGCTGGATCAGCTGCCTTGGCTAATTTTCCAAGAGGTGGTCAACAGAGCTTTCGCGTGAACTGCTCTGCAAGTGGGACTGGGAGGTTACCCCTTGCAGCGGGCTTGTAGAAGCTGCTATGAGAGAAGACATTTTCTAGCAGCATAGTTGAGTCTGGTGTGCTTGCCAAAAAAAGAGCAAAACATACCACCCCCCCCTCTACTCTTGGAAAGGTATCGGTCTCTGGTACTTTCCATTCCTTAGAGGGAGATGAATACCATCATCCCATGCTAAGATAAATGGAAATTACTGTTTACTGGAAAGTGTCTTTTCTTCCATTGATTATAGAGACTTTGTCAGACCAAACATCAAGCCTTTTTGATGGCCAAAGCTGGGCTAACTGTCTTCCAGTCACTCTGTCACTATCTGAACTGGCATTACAAGACCTCAGATATGTAAGGCAGCACACTTGTGTACATCATGAAAGCAGACTGGTATACCCTCCTGCATGGATCCTGTGTGTAATAGCTATGGGACATGGAAGGAATAGGTGAGTAGTGTAGATTTTTCTTGCATAAATGCACTTACTGTCAACTATAAAATAGTTGTTATTTCTTTGCTCTCCTTAACAGCATCCTAGGTGATCAGCAGATGAGCTGAAAAGAGGTGGAAGGAGAGGTGTGGAAGGGGCTGCTACTCCTTTCCATACAGGTACAGAGGGATGAGCTTGTGACCCTGCACAAAATGGCCTGTACAGCTGAGCAAGTTCAGCTGGAGAGTTTATCCAGGTTATTCTTCCTTGGATTGAGAACGAGAAAAAAAAAGATTAAAAAAAAAAAAAAACCAACAAAAAACCCAGAAAAAAAGTTAGGAGTCTGCCTCCTCATGTCTCAGCTCTTCCCCAGGCGGTTTGGCTTACACTGCCCCTCCCTCCTGTCCCACAAAACTCTCAGGCTTGGGCTGTGCGTGGGCACAAACTAGTATGCTATTCAAACAAATGAATGTACAATTTGAGATGCCTGTGGCCTTGCTGTGTCCCAGCTAGATATATTAATAGGTCACAAGTTAAACCTGGGTGTCTGCTTGCTCACTTTTTGAAAATAAAACCCTATGTGCCAAGTGTTGTCAATAAGGTCACTTGCACAAGGCGTCTATTTAGTCTCAGAGTCAGCAAAGCCAAATCAGTGGTCTGGGGAGAAGAAACAGCTACTTGAACTTCATAGGTTAAGAAAATCCCCAGCTGAAGTGGATCATCATTAATAAGTTTCCAGTTACATCCAAAGTAACGTCAACACTGATGTTTTGCGATCGGGTTGGTGAGTAATTTTACCTACACACACTTTTCTAGGCTTTGCTTTTACAAGGTGTTCTTGGATTGAAGCTGTATTGTTCCTTCTCAGGTCCAGTTTGCAGAATTCAAGTGCAAAGCAGAATTTCTCTCTTCCACTCACTTCTTTTTATATCTAATCTACACTTAAAGAGGAGTCTCAAAGTCTCTGCTGCTTTTTTTTTTTTTTTTTAAAGCAGCAAGTCATTGCTGACAACTAGGAGCTGTAAACATGATCTTTTGGGCTCAGCTGAACCTTTTTTAAAGGAGTGAACTGAACTGTGACTTCATATTAAAAGTGTGCAAAAATCAGCCAGTGATTCAGTCATTTTCTAATCTCAAGCTTTCATGTGTGATGCTATAATAAACGACAGTCTAATGGGACAGCCATAGCAGCACTTGTACTTCTCTATCATATTTCATGGTTTTACTGAAACTAATTATGGCTTCCAGAGATGCAGATGACCGGTATTATGACAGATATAATCAAAAGTTTCATGAGGGACTGGCCAGAAAAATCACAGAGAATGAAGAGCAGTGGAAAACGATATAAACCAGCCAGAGCCCAAACCTTAGTGGATTTATCTGGGATACCTACCACATGGGTTGGCTTTATCCTTATTATTTATGTCTATATATCTGCGTGATTCTTCTTAAAAGACATCAACATTTTATGCAGGGATATAGATGTTAGACACACTAAGTTGGTTTCTTTTTGTTGGATTTACACAGACAATTAGGTCAAAGACAAAAATGTTTATTCACACCAATGAGCCAGTCTCGGCTTCCTGATAGACTCATCAAAGGACAATAATTACTTTCCCTGAGACCTTTCAATCTGTGTCGTTCTTACAGCTGGAGGAGGAAATTGCTTTCCCATCCTGGGAAAATTTAGAAGATTTTGATTGCTTCCTCCTATTCAGATGGAATCCTTGGGATGTATCCTATTACCAGCTTCCAGCGCCTGCCACAAGGACTCGCACAGAGCACAGAATCTGGCCCAGTTACAGAGTCAGTTCTTCAGCCAGGATCTGTCACAACAGACTTGGACTGAATGCAGACATGGCCTTTTCCAACACAGTGAAGAAAAAGCTGATGAAGTACTGTGGACCTAGGTTTTGAGAGGGTTTTTGCCCATCTCTGAGATGGGAAAGCCTTTCATCTGCTCCAAGATAGAGAGTAAGTTGAAAGTGAAGAGACCAGCAGTTTCCCATGCAACCCCCAACTTGGGAAAGCAGGTGGAGTGGAGAGGAGAAACCACCTTTCAATTGTGTTTTAATGAACAAGTTGTTTGCTCTTCTGTGTCCTTTGATGAATGGGTGTTTTCGTTCAAAAGCTGACGTTTGTTTTTCATTACGCCCAGCATATGCTCTACTAGGCAGGACCGTTTTTCTACTCTAGATAAATAAACATGAAAATGAATTTATCTCACAGAAGCATGTTCTCTTTCAAGTCTGGCACAAGCCTGCCCTCTCCCCCAATAAATCTCTGAGTAAATGTGAACTCCTCAGCAAGCCCTCCCCTTACATCAAACGGAGACATTTTGCAACTTCCCATCTCCACACAGCCCAGGAAAGCTGCCACTGACTCCAGGTATTTAGAGGCAGTGATTTAACTACAACTAACAGCTGAATTTAAGAGCTTTTTATCATGAAAAATAAACTTTTCCAATTCAGAAAGCACCCAAACCCTTTTTCCAGCTAGTGATAGGTAGTATTTTTAATCCTCAAACTGTGGGGATGATGTGAAACAACACTGCCTGCAGGCTCTTGCATGGGATCTATTGCTGAATGAAAGCTGGGTAGTATATTATGATGCCAGTTAAAGTCTCTCTTTTGAGAAAGAACCTGTTCATTGGGCGCACAGACCTGTGATAAAGCTGGTTGAATCTTTAAATATAGCTCTTTATCCTTCCAAACTTATTTCTATGTTTGTACTTTATTGGTTCACAACCTGATCCTGCACATACTTTGGGTTTAGACATGGCAAAACATGTTCAGAAGTTACAGTCCTTGAAACTTCCTGTCATTGTGTGCCTTAAACACACTGAAATGTATACTGAAACCAAAGCACATGGGAGCTCTTTGCAGTTACTCACCTTCAGCACATGAGAGATGTGTCTTTTGAACCAGTTCAGACAAAGACAGAAAGCTGGGTTATAGTCCTTACCATTTCTGGACAAATAATCACTCAAGCTTATGTCAATGAAACTTTTACAATCTCAGTATTTTCACAAATACCACAGGTAGTTTAATCAAATAATGGCCCTGATTCATGAAAGTACTTAAGCATGTGCTTGACTCTAACTGCATATTGGTGTGTCCTTGAAGTCAATGATACTGAGGAGTATCTGTGATTATGTGCATGTTTAAGTGCCTTTGAGTGCTTAACTGATACCTTGAATAGGTCCAGTATCATTCATTCGGTAACACCTGTCCTATTATAGAGGCATATTAATAAATCAACCCGGTCAAGCTGCCTCTGAGCTCATCTATGAAACATGTTGCGATGGCAACCACTCAGCAGTGCAGGTCCTCAAGCAGATCGTGCCTATTACAGGCATATTCGTGATGTGTGGGAGGTGGAGGGCCTCCAGGTCTTTTTGAGAAGTTTGACTTTGCAATAGGATGTCCAAACTTGAGATTACTTGATCTGTCCCTCGCACAAGATTTTGGATTCTGAGACCCATACGAGAAATTTGTTCAATATAATAAACAGGGACTGTGCTCCCTGCAGATTTCAAGATGCATGGCAGACAAAGCCATTATAACACTTCTGCAAGTGCCTGCTAAGTTTCGGCCCCCTTGATTAAAGAATAGCATTACTGAAAACAACTCTAATAATTGCAAAGTTTGTCTTGCCCTGGACCATGCCTCAGCCTTACCCTACAGTCCTCTCCAAATTTGTACCACCCACACATCAGTAGAAACACAACTGCTCAAAATTTTTTTTTACAGCAAAGGAGGGAGAAAATCACTTCACTTGGATAAGTTTGACTCCACCCTTCCCTCTTGGAGAAGAATGACTTTGGCTGGCTTGCTGATTATTTCTTTTGCAGTAATGGTTTTACTGAGTATATGAAAGTGTTAAGCTATGTCTCACTTAGCCTGCATTTGGCTCTTAACTGGATTACCATACAAAGAATGTTACAATGAGGCTCCGAGGTCTGCCAGGTCAGCTTGGTAAATGATAGCACCTCTTGAAGCTATAATGGATGAGAGGATCCTTGATAAGATTTGACACTTGTACTATATACGCTGTCACAGCAGACATTTTGCCTTTTTCTTGATGTTTTTAAGGCCATAAATATTGGTCTCTAATGTTAAGTATGTGAACCTCACATTAATCACACTGCCAGGGAGAGCAAAGAGTTTTGCTCATAAACTGAAATGGAGCACAGTTAATCTATCAATGTTCTGTAATGAGGACTATTATAACAAAGTATTTAGGTTGATTTACTGATGGGCTACACATCTCTGCTAATGATCACACATCAGTAAAAGAGCAAAGGGACCATCTGGATCACCAGGAGTCTGAGATGCATTGAATAATGTGCAGATCCTTCCTTATCTCGACTGTAAAGTTCTTAAATTCAGTCTGTACCAGTTCACTTTCTCCAGATGAGTCTGCTCACTGGGGCATCACTGCTATCAGAGTGCTATCCCCAGTTTACATGTCTGAAAATTTCAGTATTTTCATATATTGCCTTCAGTTTCAGAGACAGGACAAGAGAAGGCAAAGGTACTTCACTGATCACAGAGCTACCTCAAAATGAAGTAAGGAATTTTAGAAAAGTTAAAATTAACTAGCTTGAATATTCTTATTTATTCTTTATACTGTGTAATCTGTGTCTAGCATCCTCCCATAGACATCTGATCCCTGTCAGGTGTTGATGCTAAATAGATACAGAAGACATCTGCAATCCCTACCTTGGGAATTTTAAATCTGAATTTCATCAGATATTTAATCAGAGTAACAGTCATGGGCCCTGGAGGCAGGAATAATCTCACTTTCCCTTAGATGTCTCCATTAGAAATACTTAAGCCTAATGACTTACTCATCCTCAGCTTGACTCATGGTTCATGGACAACCCTCGAGCATTTTAAAAGAATTCTCACATGACAGCAGGTGAACTGCACTCACTAAGGTATGCCACATCGTAAAATTCAATTGGTTTTTCTCCTCGTGAAAGATTTCTGCCATAGGCTCACTATCCCTGTCCAAGAAGCACCAGAGAGTACACTGCCAAGTCTAGGAGCTGGACTTGGGAGTACCTGTCTTGGAGGAACAGTCCCAGATATACCTGGTGGGAAGGCAGTGACAAGTGAAGAACCAGGTCACCTAAATCCTAATCCAGTTTAATTTGAGGAGTTTTGCAATCTTCAGAGCACCCACGTAAATTTAGCAATGAAAGTTCCTGCATTCAGCTCTGCTTTATCTAGGAGAAACTTCAACATGTTAATATAAGTACACTTGCTTTGGGATAATTCTTCTGGTGGGTGTCAAAATGAAGACACCAGGTTTATGCAGAAGCTCCTCACCTTTCCCTTATGGAACCATCTATGGACCATCCACACACCTGTGAATATGGACACTCCTTTTCTATTATGGAAAGCATGGCTGTGCTTGGAACCATATTGATAGCTGCAGGTGAATTCAGTCTTGGTGGGGGATCAGCAGGTCTGATTTTCAGAAACCACCTGATAAAACTTTGAGTTCATTGAGGGCATCAAGTGAGTAGAGCAATCTTAAAAAAAACCCAAAACAAAACAAAAAAAACCCAAAACCCAAACAAAAACAAAAACAACCCCCTTACTCCATTTACACAGGTGAGCAGTAGAGAGAGCATGACCTCTCAGGAAAACAAGGAAATGAGTTCTCTGAAAACCATATGCAACTGTGGACAGTCAGGCTCCTCCTGCCTGTGGGTACACACTGGATGCAAAGCAATCATCCCAGCTGCACACTCATCAAGCCTGGGCAATGCAAGGCAGGCCAAATTTGGTTGAAGAAATAGGCACAGGACATTTCTTCTAAAAGGTCATCAGTAATACAAACATATCTCAAAAGACATCATTATAGTTCCAGTTTGGCTCCAGTTCCACAGGAGAGAGATGTGTACAGCCCTGCCTGTTCTGTGCTCTGGTCTGTGCTGAACATATTGTACCACCACTCGTTTGTAATGTAAAGCTGTTGCCTGCTCTAAACTGACCAAGGGATCAGAAAAGATGCCAGATCAGAAAACAGAAATGGTCACGGAGCATCTGGGACAAGAAGTGCCAGTGTATATGGGTGAGCAAAAGTACACGCCTCTCTCACTTGGCACATTCATAGGTATCAGCCATGGATGAGGACCCGGAGAGGAGAAAATGCTAACAGGGGCCCAGACAGGGGTCCTTGGTTAGAACAAAAATAGTTGGCAGGCATTGGTTGTTGCACCTTGCCCCTAAAGAATAGTGGGAAGTTATAATTCTTTAACAGATTGAGAGATAACTAGATTAAACAAAGGAATAATACAGGCAAAAGCATTAGAAGAAAAATTCAAAAGAAACATTCAGCCAAAAATTAATGTACCATTAACATTTAATGATTTGCCTTGCCTTCTTTAGGATGTAGTAAAGAAATAATTTTTCCCTGCTTTTTCTTCTTCATTCTCCTTTCCTCCATTTTCTCTCTCTTTTTTTTTTTTTTTAAAATTTTTTTTTTTTTCCCCGTGGTTTCTGCATCTCTTGGATCTGAATACACTGAGATTTCTGGGTCTGAACCTGAACTCAGATCTGTATTTCACAACTGGCCTCTCTGTTTTTCTACCAGGTGACTCTGGATGTGAATATCCTCAGACTGCAAAGGATCACAGCAGATCTCACCCTGTGTGCTAGGTTCAATGCCAGCTCTGGTTTTTGTCTTTCTCTTCTGACCAGAGCTACATAATACTAAAAATTACTTAATTTGAAATTTCTGGAGTGATACAAAGGGCAGCTTGGTGAGGAATAGCCCAAGTCTAAATCCCTCAGCTCCTCCCAAGCACATCCAGATGCCACCTAGTTCATCAGGTTGGTATGATAGACCTGACCTCATTCACTGCTGCAGTCCCTGCAAACCCAACACACTTAAAATACTTATTATTATCTGTATCAGGGTAGCATCTAAGAAATTTGACTCTTGTGCCTACCTTCAGGAGATGGAGATAGCTAATTGGACAAAGGGGAGCGAGGTGATATTAAGGTAACTATGACTGATATCATAAAGAGTGGTCAACAGCTGTCTGATAGCTGCATGGGTCATGGCAAGGGTCATGGTAAGGGTGAGGTTTAGGAAAGGATTAGAAGGGGACACATGGAGTTTCTTCCTGCTATGAACACATCATAGAAAATGTCAAAAGCTCTTGGCAAGAAACTGAACACATAGGTGAAAAACAGTCGATAA